CAAATAGATTTACACTTTACTGCACTGTGTTATTCTTCTAGTTTTTTGGCGGCTAATGAATTGGAAGTCTTGTATATTCAAAGAAAATATATTAATTCCACAATGCAAAATAAGGCGGATAGAAATATGTTCCGTTTGAAATAATATAATCTCATAGCTGATATTTACTTCAAATGCTAAATCAAAACTATAAGGCTAGAGTCATTCTTTTATTCACTAAATTAAAGGTGCTGTAAGCACTGTTTTGTTTAATTATTTTTCATTTCAAACACAAAATGTCCCTAATACCTGATAGATAGCACTGAAATCGATACCCTGAGAAATCCCGTCTGTGTGTGCAAAAGTGTTGACAGTTCAGCATGGGACGCCTTCATTTTCACCACATCTCGGAGAAAAGGTGCTATTTTACAGCTCATGAGATCCTTTTCTGGAACTCTAGTCCTTGTATTGGGTTAAACATCTGGGTACCGTCATAATGGTCAGTGTCAAATTGACCCTAATTAAGATTCAGTATAAAATCATACTGAAAAAAACAGCAAACCTTTAACATTAATACTTAGACAGACAGAACACATAACACACACAAACAAACACACACACGTCTGGTTTGCTATCCTTGTGGGGACTCTCCATAGGCGTAATGGTTTTTCTACTGTACAGACCGTATATTCTATTGTCCTACACCAACCCTACCCCTAAACCTACCCCTCACAGGAAACTTTCTGCATTTTTAGATTTTCAAAAAACTTAATTCTGTGTGATTTATTAGCTTGTTTACCCGTGGGGACCTCAATTTAGGTCCCCACCGTGACACGAGTCCCCACGAGTCTGTGAGTATTCAGGTTTAAGTCCCCACCAGAATAGAAAAACAGGTGCACACATAACTCACTCACACACACACACACACATGAAAACACATTATTTTTTTAAAAAGGTAACACGTTGGCACTGTCACCTCACAGTAAGAAGGTCGCTGGTTCGAGTCCCAGTAAGCAAGGAAGGTCTTTCTATGAAGAGTTTGCATGTTCTCTTTGTTGCGGTGGGTTTTCTCCTGGTGCTATGACAAGATCATGGGTTTGATTCACAGTGAACTGAACATGCTTAAAAAAAGTACTTACATTCCACAACCCATCAGCATTTTGACACTTTGTAGGCATGTTCATGACACTAAACGAGAAAACAAATGTAAAATTTAAAGAAGAACATGGGTTAACCAGTATTTCCAACAACTAAAACATTAAAATTGGTCACATTGACCCACAACATCATATAAGGGCTAGAGGAGAAACGTGTTGAGAAGCAAAAGACTTCCACATTTTTCCTACAAGTCAAAGACCATTCGGGATTGAAGTAAAGCATTGGTGGTCATCAGGTGACATCTGACCATATTATACACACACATGATTCTCCACAGTCTCCGTTTATGTCTGCATTGGTATAAAAAAAGATGCTTGAATGAATTCAGTGCTAAAAAACATTTGAGATGCCATCACTTTGATGTACATTATTGGACATTACTGCATCTGTTATAGAAATAAATGAACTGAATGCACTACATCATCCCACATCATTACACACATATCAATGTATCTTCTACCTAGGCAAATTATAACACTAGTCAACTGCGACCGTATATTAATATTTCATGGTGCAAAGCTTCACAGCTGCCCTCATTTTTCCATGTGGACTTTTTCTCACCTTTCACAGCAGCAAGAATGTGTTTGTCCTTCAGCACAGTTTTGAAAACACGGGTTATTAAAGTTCACAGTGACCACAGTGCATCTGTTTCTTGAGTCACTGCGCTTGTTTTTCATTCTGGAGAATATCATCTCCATGTAGCCTGGGATCATGCTGTGTGTTGAATGATCTGCTGCTAGAAGCACTTTCATCCATTCAGGCAGTAGATGCCCTCCTTTCATCCCACGCCACATCCGTGTAACGCTGGACCAGTCAGTGCCAGGGCTCTCGCACAACTCACAGAAACTGTCTCACTGTCACATCGCTAGTTTTATCCAAAACGGATCCAAGAGACATAAATACTGAAGTGTCCTCAGCTGTTTATTTGAAAGCTGCAAAATATGCAAAAACATCAAAGACAGCTCAAACCAGCCCGTTTTAGGTTTTGATGAGCCTCCAAAAACCTAGAAGAATCTGATCGACTTACAATGTAATGAAGTATTAGCATTATTTACACTATTGTTCAAAAGTTTAGGGTCCGTAAGATTTTTAAACGTTGTTGAAAGAGTTCTCTTCTGCTTACCAAGACTCTGTTTATTTGATTAAAAAATACAGTAAAAACAGTAATATTGTAAAATATTATTACAATTTAAAATAACAGTTTTCCATGTGAATATATTGTAAAATATAATTTATTGCTGTGATCAAAGCATCATTACTCCAGTCTTCAGTGTCACATGATCTTCAGAAATCATTCTAATATGCTGATTTGCTGCTTGAGAGACATTTCTGATTGTTGAAAACGGCTTAATATCTCTGTGGAAACTCATACATGGTTCTCTGGATTTTTTTTATGAATAGTTTAAAATGTCAGCATTTATCTTTTGTAACATAAAACATATCAATGTCTTTAATCAAATGTCAACGTTGATCAATTTAAATAATCATTGCTGAATAAAAGCATTAATTTCTTAAAAAACTTGGACTGACCCCAAACTTTGAATGGTTGTGTATTTGTGTATTTTGCTTGCATGTCAGAAATATGAAGATTTTTGTAAATGTTAAATGAGAAAGACGCTTTTTGCAGGCAGATGGTGTAATTCTGACGTCTACCAACAGGTGCTAGCTGGACTGCGCTAACTAGCCAAACGACTTGACATATTCAACCATAAAGTAAAGAGTTTCCACACTGGGTTGGCTAACATGTCTTTGGAGGAGTTGCTGGAGGTTAGCAAAATGGCTGAAAACACTCACAGTAGCCTACCCTTAAATATACACAATAAATGCAAATGTGTGTTATACATATGACACATTAAACAATAGCATACCTAAAGAGAGTTTAGTGACATTGAAATAAAGTGTGATCATTTGGAGAGTGTATGGACACACACACACACACACACACACACACGCGCACACACACGCACACACACACAAACACACGCACACGCGCACACACACACACGCACACGAGCACACACACACGCACACATACAAACACACACGCACACACACACACACACACATGCACACGCACACACATGTCTGGTTTGCTATCCTTGTGGGGACTCTCCATAGGCGTAATGGTTTTTCTACTGTACAGACCGTATTTTCTATCGCCCTACACCAACCCTACCCCTAAACCTACCCCTCACAGGAAACTTTGTGCATTTTTATATTTTCAAAAAACTTCATTCTGTGTGATTTATTAGCTTGTTTACCCACACACACACACACGCAGGCACGCACACACACTCCACAAGCACAGAGAACATATGAGCCACAAATGTGTTTAAAGATTTGCAGTTTCATAACTCTTTAAGGACATCACAAAGATTTGACTCGACACTGACAACATGAAATAAGAGGCTGAACCATCACTAACATCAGCGTGTGTCCTTGTCTATAAAAGCTGTCAGGACAGAAACGACTGACCTTCAGCTCTGCAGACATGTTCCTGATGTTTTTTCTTTTATCGGAGAGCTCAAGACAGCTGCTTTCCAGCCGTTCTCATCTACTCTCATCTTCTTTTTTTGCTGCATAAAATATGAAAGCAGAATTGGATCACTAATCTCTTTGAATAATTATTTGACTGTGAAAAAAGGATTTTTCCCCCACAAATGTGTAATAATGCAAAATGCTTCTTTTGTTTCTTTTTTAATTTCACATGACAAAAATAGACGATAACTGAGTTTTAGAAAAAGAAAGGTCATGTGGCTTTAGAAAAAGACTGGGGTGTGTAAGTAACGAGTGAATTTTAATTTTAAGTTCCCTGATTCTGTTTGGAAGAGGACTTAAAATCATAACCTTGGATTTAGACGTATCCGCGTCTTACCTGAGCCCTATATGTGGCAATCACTGTCTGTGTATATGGTCTGAGCCCATGCACTTTTAACATACTATATCATTGAAGAGCAAATGAGTTTGGCAGTAGGCCAGTATTATTTCATATTTTTCAACACTTGCATTACATTTAAATTATTCCCACTCATACTTCTGAAAACAAAAAAATGCAATAAGATAAACGTCACACTGCAATCTCCTCTTTGAGATGCTTGCCTGCGAGCACAGGTTCACCTTCTTCTAGTTCTGCTACCGTGTGAAGTCACCGACTGCAGAGATTTGTTTTTCAGCTGTTGTGCTGGTGTGGGAGTTTGCTGAAAGTCTTTGAAAGCTGCATCCTGAACATTTATTTGCACTCACACTGAATGAAATAAGCACACACGCCCACATGATTTTGGCATTTCTTCCTCAATAGAAATAGGTCTTAAAATCCAAAATTTTGTTTAATCCCTTGTTGAACCACTTTGTTAGTAGCTTTTTTGTATTCCACAATTGTTTTGTGAAATATAATTAGAATTCATTGATGCCTTCTGAATAAGTTTTAATTTGAGGTTTTAATGAGAATAAAAGTTTTGCATCATCACTAACGCAATCTGAAAGTAGCATCTTCTTTCACATTTGGATGAAGTTTTTAATTTTTCAAAGCCAAGATTTGTCATACGACTAAAGGTCAAGTTTAACCAGAAGGGCTTCTCTCCAAATCATCAGTGAGAAGGAGAAATAGAGTATGTGTTTTCCATACATAATAAAACATGGACATAATTTGGCATTTTTATCCTATTGTCCATTATATTTATTAGCTTGGTCAGTGTCGTTGTGGGTTTTGGTTCTTTTGCTGTTGTAGGCTGTAATGACCTTTGAAATCATTTGGCGAAGTGATATGGACATGTCATGTGGTCAAGACCTGGAACTACTTTAGTCGTGCGTTTCCCTGAAAATAACTGCACACCTTAGAATGTTCGTCAGCCAATCAGACCGGCAGAGCTGCTGAACATTTTGGGAATAAAAAAAAAACAAGACAAACTGCGTCCATTCTGCTCCGGCGGCACTGCGCTACTGCGGGATGGTGAGGTTCGCTCTCTTTGGTGGAGGCGGTGGCATGAGCTCAGAGTCGGCTGGGTTTTTGCGGGACTGCGCCTGGGCGCACCGGTCCAAAAACTCAAAGAGAATTTCCTTTGTGACAGGATGCTGGATACTGTTGCACACAGCTGTCAGGACGACACAAGACAAAGTGAGGACAACAAATAGATGCTGGGTTTTCAACAGAGTTCGGCTGCAAGCTCAGAAAGTCCTAAAGGGGTCATATGATGCGTTTTAAAGTTTTCCTTTCTCTTTGGAGTGTTACAAGCTGTTCGTGCATAGATAAGATCCTTAAAATTGCAAAGACTAAAGTCTCAAACCTAAAGAGATATTCTTTAAAGAAGTTAAGACTCGTCCACGCCCTCCTAAAACGCCTCGTTTAAACACGCCCCCACATATCTACGTCACGATGTGGGAGGATTTGCATAACGCCGCCCAAATGTTCACACAAAGAAAGA